CACTGCAGTAGTGCAGCTGGTATACAGTACAGCACAGTAGAGTACACTGCAGTAGTGCAGCTGGTATACAGTACAGCACAGTAGAGTGCACTGCAGTAGTGCAGCTGGTATACAGTACAGCACAGTAGAGTGCACTGCAACAGTGCACACTTGTAATCCTAGGACTTTGGAGACAAAAGCAGCAGAGCCTCATCTGTGTGAGTCCAGCCTGAGGCTACAGAGCTGGACTCTCTCAGAAAGACCACGAGGGACCAAGGCTACAAATGACTGTTTTAAATATACTTCTATGTTTAATTTTTATGATATATGACTAATAGGTATTATTTTCATAATGCCAGCTCTTTTTCATTTGGTCATTCAGGCATTTCTTTCACAGTCTTCAGACAGAATATAATGTTCTAAGAATATAGAACAATATTGCTAATTTTTAATATGAAAGTTGAGAACAATGACAGCCGCTGTTGAAGTTTATCAGCTAAGGGGCTGGAGAGATGGCTCCGTGGTTAAGAGTACATATTGCTCTTTCAGGGGACCCAAGTTTGGTTCCCAGTACCCATATCAGGTGGCTCACCACAGACTAACTCTACTTCCACGGGATCCTCCTGGGCATCCCATGCCTTCTGGTAAATGCACACACACACACACACACACACACACACACACACACACACACACACACACACAATGAATCATTAAAAAAATAGATACTGTAATTTTCAAATACCTTATAGCTTATAATAGTGAAGTACTGGGAAGACAGAGTAATAGCAGTTTTAGGTGTCACATTATACTCCTTGGAAATCAATGAACTAAGCATTCCTGTATCCAACACATAGCCCACCTTCATTTAACCCTCATAAAAATTACCTACATATGCAGTAACTGGTGTATGAGGGTTTTCTAATTTATATGCCATCAATTAGATTCACCACAAGGAGGCCCCAAATAGCATTTCAAAAACCTTCAAAATGCTATCAAGAGGAAGAGGGAATACTCACACAGCAAATCAAGTCATAAAAGTAACCACTGATTATAAACTCCCCTCTTAAGAACCTCTCGGCATTCTTCTCCAATGTTTCTTCCCTTTAGCCTTGAGTCTTTTCAAGCAAAGAAGAAAAGTCCTATGTTGCATCTTTGTCCTCATTTTTCCTTCAGCAAACTTAAATCTGTCTCCTATTATAATTTTGCTACACTACTCTCAATGTGGAGAACCCTCCAACAGACAGATGAAAGGTCAGTTTTCAATCCTCACCTTATTGAAATTTGAAACTGCTTACCAATCCTTTCCTCAAACATTCTACTTTCTTAATTCTGTGAGGCCACCAAATTAGAACTGCTTGGAGTTTTTAAACACAGATATGTATTAATTTATTTAATAATCAAAATTACTTGCCAGGCATTATGCTAAGCACTGGAAAACCAACAATAAGGGGGTTTAAGGGGCCTATTATAGTGGGAAAGATAAGAGTGATGATCATCAAAGAGAGGTAGGAAGTCATACAGAATTAAAAGCAGGATGTCAACAGAAAAAGCACAATGAGTATGGAGCTGCCTGTTAACCGCATTTTCCATAGGCTCTTAGGAATATGATTAATTACAAGTTTAATAATGTTCAAAACAAAGTGAGGTACAGCCTGGACTCATCTCCACTCCCCAAACCAACACAGGGCCCAGAAAGCTGTGCTAGTTGGCTTACCCAAGGGCCAGGCTGGCTGTAGGCTGTCTCCAAGATGTACAGAAAGATTGTAAAACCTTCCCATGTTCTGTGTCCTCACTTAGCATTTTCTCAGTATCTTGAAATCTGACTCTCACTTCCTATCTCTGTTAAGACAATAACAAAGTCCGAATTGCCAAATGAGAACTCACAGTACTGAACTGGGAAACACTCTGTTCCTTAGTTTCAGAACACGGCTCTTTCCCAACCAGTTCTTCCACTCATCTGATCATTCTTTTCCTTTCTGTTCTTTCTTGGGCTGTCTTGTTATTTCACAGGACTGTACAGAACTGCATCCAAGCCTATTCGTTTCATTGCCACATATCCAAGTATGCTTTAGGAGTCTGTATTGAGCTAAGCCTTCCTCAGCTTCAGACCTATTCATATTTGTAGCATTACTACATTTGACAGGATCACAGAAGGATCAAAATCCAAAGCCCTCCTTCTTCGCTTCAGTGCAGAGATAGTGGTACACACAGGGGCAACACAAACAATTTTGATACTTCAGAAAAACCTTCCAGATCCAGAAACGTCTGGAATGAATCAAAATGATGTAAAACACACGGCTTTTCATATGTGATAGTTATTTCACTATGCCTTCGTTTATTTGTCTCAACAAATACCCTAAGTGTGGGACTTTCACTCTTTTAAGAATTAGCTAGAAAATGGACTTGATTATTTAAAACTGAGTAACTATAACATAGCCAGTGAGATGGCTCCGGAGATAAAAGTACTTACTGAGCAAGCCTGATGAAGGCCTGAATTCAACCTCTGGGCCTCACAATCGAAGGAAAGAACCAACTTCCAAAAACTGTCCTTTGAACTCCACATGCCATGGCATGCATGTGTCCGCATGCGTACACACACACACATACACATACACACACCAAATAATACAATTTTTTAAATTATACCAAGGATGATGCTACTAAATAGTGTAAGGTATAGAAATGATGAGTATGTGAGTGGGGGTGGATAGTGGTGAGGACTGGTATTTATCATTGCAAGCTTACACACAAATAGTCATGGGTAAATGATGAATTTCAGTGATTCTAGGCTACATTTTGTACTCAGAAGGTTAAAGCTCATTAAAATACCAGGTGAAACCAGCAAGTACATATCCATTACCACAGTTAATAATTACACAGTTTCTCAATCTGCAGAAGGCCACCAGTCAGAAAGACTAATACACCACAGTCTTTATCTTTAGCGTGGTCAGTCTGGTGAATGTGTCCAAGATTTATAAAACAGGATGAACTGTATCAGCAGATTTTGTCTTTGCCAACACCACAACTTAAAAAAAAAAAAAAAGGCTTCTTATAAACTTCATGTGATTAAAAGAAACTACTTTCTCTACCACATAAATAACCAGAAAATCTCACAATTACAATGTGTCATAGCCATTATGAAGGTTTTTCATGTCTACTCCCCCAAATACTAAGCAATTTTAAGATTACACAATAATATCACTGGACAACAAAGCAGAGAGGGGGTCATAACTGAAGAAACACCAGTTTTGGAATAAGGCAGGTATGAATTCAAATCCCTCCTACTCTGAAACTAGCAAGTGCTAAAGCCAGATGACAGCCACACGAGGTTCATTCTACTATCCTATTTCTGTATATTCTTATCATTCATAATAACGTTAAGCTTCCTTATCTGTCAGGTGAGAATTGTTTCTTTGTTAATTGAGAATAACATCATTCCCACTTCACGGCATTGTGAGATGGCACACAATAATTAATATTAGCCCTCTATGGTCTTAAATCTAGGAAAGGAAACTACATTCACACTTACTTGGTAACATACCAACAAGTTGTATTTCCTTCAAGCTTTTTGTTCTTACATATATTTTTACGCAGTGGCAATGATAAAACTGAATTTTTTTTTTACTGCTTTGAATCATATATGATTCTTATGCCAATTTACAATCTCTTGTGGGATATGAGAGTTTGTTGCTAAAACTGTGACTCATGTATCCCAGGCTGGCCCCAAACTTGGCTTTGTAGCCAAGGATGACTGGCTTCTGGCCCTTACTCCTCCACTTACAGAG